TTATTTTTCCCGAATGGATAACCACTTGTTCCAATTCCATTTATTGAATATGACATCTTTCCCTGCTGCACTGCATACCCTCTCTCATAAATCAATGCACACATACGTATGGGGCTGTTTCCAGGCTCTCTCTCAGGTACCACTTGTCCCTCTGTGAGTGAATGCCACATCATTTTAATTACTATTGGTATCTGATCGATCAAGTCTACACACCTTGTCCTTCAGGAGTGTTTCGACTCTTCTTTCACATAAACTTTGAAAGAAATTTATCATGTCCCACAAAAAGACTGTCAAGTATTTTTAAAAATTGTATTACAGCGACAGATGAATTTGGAGATTTTTGGCCTCTTTGATTCTGAATCTTTCAATCCATTAATATGGTAAAACTTTCTATTGATTAGTGTCTTCTTCAATGTCTTCCAATAAAGATTTTTGTTGTTGTTGTTGTTTGATTGTCTTTTAGACAGGGTCTTGTTTTTCTGTGGCCCAGGCTGGAGTGCAGTGGCACCATATAGGCTCACTGCAACCTCCACATCCCAGACTCAGGTGATCCTCCCACCTCAGCCTCCCCCGACTCTCTGGGACTACAGGTGCACACCACCACGCCCGGCTACCAATAAAGTTTTCTAATTTCATACACAAAGAGCTTGCACAATACTTTTAAAAAATCAATTCTAAGGGGCTTTGTATTTTTGTTGTGTTTTAAATCATTTTTTGATTAGTCTTTTTATTTTTCTGACTGTTGCTGGCATGTAGAAATTTAATTGACACTCAAACCTTACACACTTAGATTTTCTTTCTTTGTTTCTATCTTTTGAGACCGAGTCTTGCTCTGTTGCCAGGCTGCAGTGCAGTGGTGCGATCTCGGCTCACTGCAACCTCCACCTCCTGGGTTCAAGTGATTCTCCTGCCTCAGCCTCCCGAGTACCTGGGACTAAGGCACGCGCCACCACGCCCAGCTAATTTTTGTATTTTTAGTAGAGACGGGGTTTCACTATGTTGGCCAGGATGGTCTCGATCTCTTGACCTCGTGATCCACCCACCTTGGCCTCCCAAAGTGCTGGAATTACAGGCATAAGCCACTGTGCCCAGCCCACATTCAGATTTTCTACACTGTGACCTTGCTAAACTCTCTTATTAATTCTAATAACTTGTCTACAGATACTTTTGGGTTTTCTATAGACAATGATAGTGACTACAAACAATAGTAGTTTTGCTGTTTTCCCTTATAATCCTTATATTCTTCTTTCTTCTTTTTTGCGGATCACCTGAGGTCGGGAGTTCGAGATCAGCCTGACCATCATGGAGAAACCCCATCTCTACTAAAAATACAAAAAATTAGCCGAGCATGGTGGTGCATGCCTGTAATTCCAGCTACTCGGGAGGCTGAGGCAGGAGAATCGCTTGAACTTGGGAGATGGAGGTTGCAGTGAGCCAAGATCCTGCTATTGCACTCCAGCCTGGGGGACAAGAGCGAAACTCTGCCTAAAAAAAAAGAAAGTTTAAATAAAGTTTCCTTAGGAATATTTTCTCAACATCTTACCCTCTCCTTATTGCTCTGTGCTCCAGGGATGCCATTGAGCAGGTTTGTACCTGCCTCCTTTCAACCTGACTATATATTACTGGAGAAAAGAAGTCTTACGTGAGGGTGCAGATGGCGGCTTTCAAGAATTTGAAGAACTACCAAGGGGAGGGAGTGCAGCAGGAGGAAGTGCAGAGGGAGTCTCAGCAGCCCTGGGTGACAGAATAAAAGGGGAGATGGAAGGGCAGGAAAGCGGATTTCCACAAGCAGAAAGAGAAGCTTTTTAGCATCATTGTTGTCTAACCAGAGAATAGGTTGCTTTTTGAGACAGTGAGCTTCCCAGCTCTGGAAGTACTCAAGCAGGGCTAGATACACACCTACCAAGGATGTTGTACAGACCCCTCACCCCCAATATTGGGTGGGGTATGGACCACATTATGTCTCCTGTCTCTTCCAACTTCAGTCTTGAGATTTGTAAAGAATTGGATTCATTTCTTCTTTTTTTAAAATTGAACTTGGTTTTATTAACATCTTGTGGGTGTTTTTAAGTTCTGAGTATTCAACTTTGACTATGACCAAAATGTCTATATTTAAAGAGGTAACAAGGTATTTAACACATTGTGTAATATGAGCCAGATAAATTGCTTTCATAATGAGGGCTCCGTCCAAATAAGGCAGAGGCCACGATCCCAGGTGGAAGGAATGGAAATGAATCTATTTCAAGGCCAATAGCTACAGCCCAAATTCACTCAACTCTACCAAACGTACCTGCACTGCCTCAGCAACTCATCTCTACAATTTGACAAGACAATCAAAAGTACATTTTGTGCTTAATGTAATAAGAGGCTCAGATATAAATGTCTACTTTTATATATTTTTAACTTATGCAGATAGTTTGTTATTTAACAAATAGGTTAAACTGACTTTGTTGCAAATGAGATATGAGGATGTGCATATGAAGAATAATTGGGCTGGGAGCAGTGGCTCACACCTGTAATCCCAGCACTTCGGGAGGCTGAGGCAGGTGGGTCATGAGGTCAGGAGTTCGAGACCAGCCTAGCCAAGGTGGTGAAACCCCGTCTCTACAAAAAATACAAAAATTAGCCAGGCGTGGTGGCAGGCGCCTGTAATCCCATCTACACGGGAGGCTGAGGCAGGAGAATGGCTTGAGTCCAGGAGGCAGAGGTTGCAGTGACCTGAGATCGTGCCATTGCACTCCAGCCTGGGCGACACAGTTAGAGTTTTTTTAGACAGAGTCTTGCTGTCACCCAGGCTGGGGTGTAGTGGGGCAGTCTTGGCTCACTGCAACCTCTGCTTCCTAGGTACAAGTGATTCTTCTGCCTCAGCCTCCCAAGTAGCTGGGATTACAGGCGTGCACCACCACATCTGGCAAATTTTTGTATTTTTAGTAGAGATGGGGTTTCACCATGTTGGCCAGGCTGGTCTCGAACTCCTGACCTCAGGTGATCCACCTGCCTCGGCCTCCCAAAGTGCAGGAATTACAGATGTGAGCCACAGCGCCCGGTGGAACTTGAATGCTACTTGGTTTCTCATAGCCTATTTTCCCTCCTTCTTAAAAAATGGGACAAATAATATTACCAAATGAATGTAAATAAAGGCATTTAGGAAATAATGTGAAAAAGTTTTAAAGTGTTATTTACTTTTTCTTTTCTTTTTTAATTTTAGATTTGGGGGTACATGTGCAGGTTTGTTACGTGGCTAAATTGCATGATGCTAAAATGTGGGCTTCTAATGATCCTATCTCCCAAATTGTGAACACAGGCCGGTCGTGGTGGCTCATGTCTATAATCCCAGCACTTTGGGAGGGCGAGGCAGGCAGATCACTTGAGCTCAGGAGTTCGAGGCCAGCCTGGCCAACGTGGCAAAACCTCGTCTCTACTAAAAATACAAAAAGTAGCCTAGTGTGGTGGCGCATACCCGTAGTCCTGGCTACTTGGGAGGCTAAGGCACGAGAATTGCTTGAGCTCAGGAGGTGGAGGTTGCAACGAACTGAGCTCTCACCATTGCACTCCAGCCTGGGAACAGAGGGAAACTACGTCTCAAAAATAAAATGAAAATAACAACAAATAGTGAACATAGTACCTGATAGGTAGTTTCTCAAACTTTCCCCCCTCTCTCCCTCCCCACTTTTGGAATCCCCCTTGTTAATTGTTCCCATCTTTGTATCTGTGTGTACCCAATGTTTAGCTCCCACTTCTTTTTTTTTTGTTTTGTTTTGTTTTTTTGAGACGGAGTCTCGCTCTGTCGCCCAGGCTGGAGTGCAGTGGCGCGATCTCGGCTCACTGCAAGCTCCGCCTCCTGGGTTTACGCCATTCTCCTGCCTCAGCCTCCTGAGTAGCTGGGACTACAGGCGCCCGCCACCGCGCCCGGCTAATTTTTTGTATTTTTAGTAGAGACGGGGTTTCACCGTGGTCTCGATCTCCTGACCTTGTGATCCGCCCGCCTCGGCCTCCCAAAGTGCTGGGATTACAGGCGTGAGCCACCGCGCCCGGCCTTAGCTCCCACTTCTAATTGAGAACCTGCAGTATTAGATTTTCTGTTTCTGAGTTAATTTGCACTGGATAATGGCCTCCAGCTGCATCCATGTTTCTGCAAAGATGTGATTTCATTCTTTTTTTGTGGCAGCATAGTATTCCAGGGTGTGTATATACCATATTTCCTTTATTCAGTCCACCACTGATTGGCAACTGGGTTGATACTATGTCTGTCCTATTGTGAATAGTGCTGCAATAAACGCACGAGTGTTTATTGGTAAAGCGATTTATTTTCCTTTGGTTGTATACCCAGTAATTGGATTGGTGGGTCCAATGGTAATTCTATTCTTAGTTCTTTAAGAAATCTCCAAACTGCTTTCCTCAGGGACTGAATTAATTTGCATTCTCACCAATAGTGTATAAGCATATAATAGCAGTGCAAGAAAATAAGAATTGGGTTCATTTCTTATCCTACTTCCTGGGATACTTCATCAACGCCTCTCATAATACTTAGAAAACCGACCTTACAATGGAGGCAAGTCAACCAAGATGAAAGCTGGTTCTTTGTATATGTTAATAATTTTGATAGACCCCATCACGTCTGATCAAGAAAAAAAAAAAGAGAAATAAAACACATTAAAATTCCTTTCTCCTCAAGAAGCACCCAGCAAATATAGTAGGTGTGCATCCAGTGATCATAGAATAAAAGTGTTGTTATCCTGTTAAGTCTTCATCCCCAAACCTCTAAAGGCTGCATTCCCTTGGAGGTTTCTAGCCTTATACCTCATCGTCCTATAATCTTTTTAAATAATACAAGTAGGTAAAGTAGTCAAGGCACTCACTGGTTTGAAAACCTGTGAAAGAAAAGCTTTATAAATGGAGTTGACAGCCTCTTCCGTATAATTGGGACTTCTGAACCAAGTGAAGTTTTGAAGGTTTTTAAAGACTGGGAATAATTCTGTAGCTTCATAGTTGTACTTTATTTTTACTCTTCCATTCACCCAAGCTCCTTCTTTCTAGCAAATCCCGTTTGTTGGCGGATAAAAATACATCTGCAGAGTCTCCCGGAAGCTGCCCCATCAGCCTCGTAGACAAGAAGCCTTGTTTTCCTGCACCGCCACAGAAATGTCTTCCTCCTCCTCCTTCTCCGGCTCACTGGGATCAAAGTCTTTTTCGTTCTTAGCTGGTTTTCCTTAGAGAAAAGCTGGAGTTCAGGGTTCAGTTCAGAGAGGGTGACTCCTTGAGGGCAGACCTAGAGGCGCCGCGCACCGGTTCCGCCTGCAGCCCGGGCAGAGCTGCGCCCCGGCTGCCTGCGCCGCGCGAGTCCGCCAATAGCGCCGAGAAATCCGTTACCAGGCGGCTGTGTCCCCAAGGGCCATTCAGGGCGGAAGGGAGCAGGGAAAACCGCTGTGTTGATTCCCGGGCGCTGTAGGCTGCGAGCGCAGAGGGTCAGGTTACAGGCAGGTGAGGCTGGCTGTTGGGTGAGCCGTGGGCTCCAGGGCATCCCGGGTCAGACGCGCCCCCGCAGCACTCGGCAGCTGGCACACGTCTGACGACCTCCTGGAGGAGGGCGACCGCAGCGATACACGAGGCTGTGCCCGTTGTCCTGGGCGCACCCGAACAAGGCCTTGGGAAGGGCAGCGCGCCCCCCAACGTGAGCACAACTGCTTTAGAAACTTGGCATATTTTACCAACTCCCCCTCCTTCTCTCCCTCTCTCCTCCAGGCATAAAGGTTGATAGGAACAAACAGATATAATAATAAATGCAAAGCTTTCCTACCTCCCCGGTAGGGGCGGCGAGAAGATGTAGCCAATGTTCACTATGCTGGCTTCCTGGAAAGGTATTTCCCAGTCTCAGAATTTGGGGATCGGGTGGTTAGGGGAGGCAATGGTGGGAGTGGACGAAGATTGGGGGCTTGTTTTGAGGCTGCATTTGCTTAATATGCTCCTGGCTTTTGTTTCTATTGTGTGTTTACTTGGGGTGAGGGGGCCTCGGGGTGCAACATCTTGTGGGGAGAAGCTGCTTTGGCGGGGCAAGCCCTGTTTTTCTTAAATTGTATACTAGTCAGAAAAATAACGTGTTCTAAAGATGCCGAATTTTTAAATTTATTTTTACTGCTTTTGGGGGGGGGGGAGTTGTAGTTGATGGATAGCTTAAGCTCCTAAGCCCCCACCCCCCATTATTAATAATCAGAATCCTTGGAAGTCTCCCGCCGCCTCGCCCTTCTGACCGCCCAGATTTCATCAAGCCCCGGGAAGGCTCCACAAGGTCCAGAGGAACTGAGCCATTTTCTGGCTCGTCGAAGACAAATCCACCCGGCGGGGGAGGGGGGCAACTCGTGGGAGGCCCCAACTCACCGGAAGGGTGCCCTGGGAGGCGAACCTGGGGTTTACTTCGAAGAGCTCGCCTCGAGGTGCAGGTGATGGGAGAATGGGGCGGGGGTTGATTAAAAAATGTTCTTCCTTTCTTAAAAAGAGGAGGGGGAAGAGCAGACTTTAAATTCTTTTGCAAACATTCATGCCTAAGGAAGGGCTGGAACAGGCAGCCCCGGCCGCCGGAACCGGTCGGACAGGTAGCGAGCTTGTTGACACCGTTATGTTGCAGGGCGCATGCTCACTCCCAAGTTTCCTGGTGCCTTTTCTATTCCACCTTATGAAACTTTTTCCCCGGCGTGGTCTCACTCGCGATTTAAGGCATAGGTGTCGCCCAGCCGGGAGGCTGGGAGTCGCCAGGCGTGCGGGGGAGAGGCCTGGGCCGCGCCGCGGCGGGGGGTGGAGGAAGAGGGCAGGCGAGGCGGGAAGGTGGGCTCTGGCCGCCGGGAGCCGGGGACGGAGCCGCCGCCGTCGCCCCTAGCGGGGAGCAGCCGGGAGGAGGGGGCCGCGGTCGGGAGAGGGGACCCCACCATGCCCAAAGTCTTCCTGGTGAAGAGGAGGAGCCTGGGGGTCTCGGTACGCAGCTGGGATGAACTCCCGGATGAGAAAAGGGCAGACACCTACATCCCAGGTGAGCGCGCGCGGGGGCCGGGCCTGGGCGCTGGGCTCCCGGGGTGGGGGAAGGGGTGGCGGGTCTTCTCCGCTCATCGGCAGGGGCGGGCTCCCCACTTCATCCCCTCTTCCGGGGGGCACACGGGGGTCTTCTAGGCGAGGGAGGGCGGGCAATGAGGGACTGGGATGCCCGGGACTCTGGGCGCCCCCTTCCCCCTAGTGGGAGCCTCTAATTGCCCGGCGGCAGGACCGTTGGCTGCAGCGCGGGCCGAGGTGGCCCAGGAAAGGGATTGAAAGCCAGCAGGGGCTACCCCCAATCTCACGTCCTCATGGGGGTGCACAAAGGCCCGCCAACCCTTCTGGGGCTAGCTGGGGAGAGGTCAGACCCGCCTCCCCCGCCCAGAGAGGAAACTTGGCGCGCAGGGTCCTCCGCCGCGCGTGGCCACCTGGTTCCTCGTGGGCGCCAGGGCTGGGACCGGGAAGAGGCCCCCAGCACTCCAAGCTAGCCGTAGGGGTCGATCCGGGGCTTACTCGCCCACCCCCGCGACGTTGCCCACTTGGCGAGGTGCCCAGGTTCGGGGCGGGGCGGCGGCAGTACCGCCCGCAGGTCAAACTGCCGCGGGCGTACGGGCTGACGCCGAATGTGTATGTCGGGGCGCGGCCCCTCCCTCCGCAGTGGGCCTGGGCCGCCTGCTCCACGACCCTCCCGAGGACTGCCGCAGCGACGGCGGCAGCAGCAGCGGCAGCGGCAGCAGCAGCGCGGGGGAGCCTGGAGGAGCCGAGAGCAGCTCGTCCCCGCACGCCCCCGAGCGCGAAACCCCCGAGCCCGGCGACGCCGAGGGCCCCGATGGACACCTGGCGGCCAAGCAGCGCCCGGTCGCCAGATCGAAAATCAAGGTACTGTGTCGACTCTGCCCCCGCCGCCACCTGCACCACGCCCTGGCGTCGGGCTCCCGGGGCCGGCGCCCCTCCCTGCCGCGCCCGCCCGCGCAACCCGGCACCCGCGCCCCGAGCGCGCCCGCCGCGCAGCTCCTGCACCTGCCCCTGGGCGGCGGCCAGGGCGCCTCAGCGCGTACTCCTGCCTGCAGGGTAGCTGCTGCGCAGGGGCGGCGGGTTCCCAGAGTGGGCTCTGTCCACCCGGTGGCCCCGCCTGATGCCGAGTGCTGCCTCTGGAACTGCGGAAAAGGCACTGGCATCGCTGCCTTCCGCCAGCAGCCCATTCTGTGCGCCAGGCCTGTAGAATAACGAAGGCCGTCGGAGTTCCCGAGGTCAGAAAGGAAGCCCCCGCGCTCTCAGAAATTTCACCCTCTGAAACGCAGTTCCTGGCGCCGCGGTTCTGAGAGTTCACCCCCCATGCTTATGTCCTGGATATGGGCGGCAGCTTGACATATAGTGGGCCTCTCCCAACACGAGCGGTTCCCAGTGTCTGTTAGACAGGAGACTTGTGTACGGCACTTTAGATCTGTCATCTTTCCAATCTTGAATTAAGTTGATGGGTAAAAGGGTTCAACTACCGATTTCTCGAGCGCCCTTACCCCAGTGGATTGGAGTGTTTGCTCCCATCTATGGTCGCTTTTCAGGGCCCCCTCGAACATTGTGGACGCCCACCTGCGCTTTCGGGCAGAACTTCCATGATGGTCTGCTCAAAGGTATCAGCTACCCACCAAGATTTAGGAATCCCATTCCACTGACTCAGCCAGCTGGAGCTAGTGGGTGGCGGTTTATGATCACTTGACCCCACTTTCTAGCCTGGTGAGCCGCAGTGCGACGCTGTGCACCCCCAGATCCCCGGTATAGGTGGTAATTCCAGGGTTCTCCGGTGCCCTCCCGCCACCCAGACCGGGAGTAGAGGGTGGGGAGGGAGAGCCTGGGCTTTGCTGTGGATTGAGAAAGCAATCCTCTTTTTCCTGGGAGAGGCCACCCCTCCCCTATGCACATTGCATATTCCCAGGGTTTGACTCCGGGGTGGGCTGAAGCGCATTTGGTTATGAATTGAGGTTTGAGGCTTCAGCTGGGATCCAAAGGAAAGACCTCTTTAAAAAAGAAGTGCCGATACTGTGCGGTCCGGTAGCCTAGCGGTAAGTGTGAGGGTGACGTTCAAAGTCAACTGGCCTGAGGCTCTTCTGGGCCAGGTGGGGTTAAATGGGAGGGAACAATTTGCCTGAGGCTGGTAGCTCTGCCCTTCGGGAAATTCTACAAAGTGCCCCACTTGCATATTTATCACCAGGCTGAAAGGACAATTGCAACGTTGTTTTGGGAGCCTCTGCAGCTAGTTTGCCCCTCTGTCCCCCAATTGCCCAAATTCCCCTGGAGAGAAAGTGACAGATTCTCATCCAGTCTCTTAACCAACATTTTAGGCAATCTTTTCTGCCTCAGGCACACAGGGCCGTTGGAATCCTGGATTAAAGGAAGATGTAAACCAATCTGATTTCCTAGATTAGTTGCCTGTTCTCTGGGGGAAGTGGGGCAGAGAGGCACAATTCACTCCTGAACCGTTAAAAGTCTTCTTTCCATAGTTTCCAGGGGAGTTTTTATTTACTGGGGATGTTTAGCTTCCTTCTTTCTGCCTCTACCCTCAAAAAGGAGACATTTTGGTGTTAATATGCGCCAAGCCTCCAGAATTATCATCAGCCGTGGCATTGGCAGTTTTCAAATGACTGAACGAATTGCCTGTATAATTATAAAGTTCTTTCCAAGGCATGCTGAACTCACAGAGTTTCTATAAGAATTAGTTTCTTTTCTTTCTTTTCTTTTCTTTTTCTTTTTTTTTGAGACAGAATTTCGCTCTTGTTGTCCAGGCTGGAATGCAATGGCTCGATCTCAGCTCACTGCAACCTCTGCCTCCCGGGTTCGAGTGATTCTCCTGCCTCAGCCTTCCAAGTAGCTGGGATTACAGGCATGTGCCACCACCGCCTGCTAATTTTGTAATTTTAGTAGAGATGGGGTTTCTCCGTGTTGGTCAGGCTGGTCTTGAACTCCCGACCTCATGTGATCCACCCACCTCGGCCTCCCAAAGTGCTGGGATTACAGGCGTGAGCCACCGTGTCCAGCCAAGAATTTGTTTCTTAGACAGTGGGCTCCCGGGACCACAAGAAAGGCAGGTTTGAGCCATTGCCTGGCACAGAGAGGCAACACTCTGCCCATCTAACACCTGGGGTGTGCAAGGCAGCGGGAGGTAAAAATGCTCCCAACCTGGTGTTCCTTCCAGAATCATCTGGTAGTAGCTGTTATTAAGCATGTAAGCGCTGGCTTTGTCACTTCTTAGCTGTGTGACCTTGAGCAAGTGGCTCACCCTCTGGGCCTCAGTTTCCTTATCTGTAAGATGATAATAATGATACCTACTTGATAGCATTGTGAGGATAAATGAGTGGAGGGTAGAACATGGTTTGTGTCCAATAACCGTAGATAGTATTTGGGTTAATAGGGAGACACAAACATTATTAACTCTGCTGCAGGACCGTGAACGTGAAACCAGAATTCCAAGCAAAGATGTGACCAGTTTGAGTGGGGAAGGTGTCCTGATGTGGATTTGAAAGCCGGGGAGAAGGGAGGGGGTGGGCCTGAGGGCAGTGTGGGCTGAGTCCCGCAGCTGGAGCATAGAAAGGATGAAGCTGTGGTGGCTGAAGATAGGAAACAGGGCTTGCTGGGGTCCGGGAGAGAGTTGGCGGTAAAGAGCTAGAAATGTAACCAGGACAGGGTGAGATGGTGAAGGGGCCAAGCCAAGAAGTGTGGGCGCTCCTGCTGGGCAGAGGAGAAGCTCTGGATGATGTCAGAAGGAAAATCCCAATCGTGTTCCTCTTTTTTTTTTGAGAGAGAGTCTCGCTCTGTCGCCCAGAGCTGGAGCACAGTGGCACAATCTCAGCTCACTGCAAACTCCGCCTCCTGGGTTCAAGCAATTCTCCTGCCTCAGCCTCCCGATTAGCTGGGATTACAGGCACCTACCCCAAAGCCTGGCTAATTTTTGTATTTTTAATAGAGACGGAGTTTCGCCATGTTTTCCGGGCTGGTCTTGAACTCCTGACCTCAGGTGATCCGCCCACCTTGGCCTCCCAAAGTGCTGGAATTACAGGTGTGAACCATCACACCCGGCCGGCCAGTCGGGCCCCTCTTAAAGGCTGTGGTCATGGATACATTATCTCCTCTGGGCCTGAGTTCCTTGATCTGTAAAGTGGAGGACTCAAACAATCAGCCTCCTACAAGAGTTGCATAGATTAAATGAGATAGTGAGTGTAAAGTGTTTAGCTTTCTGCGTATGTGTAAACTGCCCAAGAGGAAGTTAGCTGACAGTGACATACAGCAAGTTTTAATGCCCAACATTTTGTTGGCTGCAGTAAGGACACGGATCGTGTTGATGGGTGGATCTGGAAAAGGAGTCCGAGGCGCAGGTTAAGAAATGTGGCTGGCCTTTCCCAGCCCATCTGCCTTTTGACGGTGTGCCTCAGGGCAGATTGTGAAATTGTCTCTTTACTACTGAGAATTCTGTAATTTGCCAAACAAATAGGGGTGAGAAGATGACTTACATTCCACAGAGTGTGCACGGCAGGTCCCTTTTGTGCTGGATCCATCTGCCGGTCTCCAGCTGCCGGGTGGAGAAACCCAGGAAATACTAATCACCATTGTCCTGTGGAGGCTTATTAGAAACGAAGTAACTCTGAAGTTAACCCAGTTGACTGATAGTATTCATTCGTGATTCTCTGGCTGGTAGGACCCAGGTCCCAGTATGGAGTACCAAGGGAATTTGTCCTCTCACCCTGTCCTATTCTGTTCTTTCTTTTTGCCTTCTTCCATGGGTTCTTCAAAATAAAGTAAGTTTAGATTCTTTCAAAAGTATTCTTGGCCTTTTACTCAGCTCTCTAACGAGTCTTGTAGTGGTGCAGATGTGTTTATGGAGTAGTCCCCATACCCCCATCACTTTGTATTATTTAGAATCTCAAAGGCGCAGCGGTGCGTATCTGCCACCCAGCCCCAACAGCCCCATGGCCATTCCTGCCCAGGCACACCCCCACCCCTTGCCCCACACATGATTTTGAAGCAAATCTAGGACATCATACCATTTCAACTGCAAATCATTCAGAATGTGCGTTTAGTGGATAAAAACCAAAATTCATGATCACACCCACATTACCAATTGTGTTCACGTTACTAATTGTCTCATAAATTCTTACTTTTCCCCTCTAGTTTGCTTAATCAGGTCCACATAATGTCTACACGTTGTAATTGATTGGCATGTCTTTTGAGCCTCTTTTAATTTCATACATTTTCCCTCCATCAAGTTAATTGTTGAAGAAATGGGTGATTTGTTTTGCAGAGTTCCCAACAGTCTGGATTTTGCTGAGCACATCACCATGTGCCTAACATTCCTCAGTCCCCTAGGTTTTCTCTAAACGAGTAGTTGGATCTGCAGCTGCAGCATCCAGTATCACATGTGACTATCACAGCCGTAGTCAATTAAGAATGAACAATTAGACCAGGTGCCGTGGTTCATGCCTATAATCCCAGCACTTTGGGAGGCCGAGGCGGGTGGATCACCTGAGGTCAGGAGTTCGAGACCAGCCTGGCCAACATGGTGAAACCCTGACTCTATTAAATAAATACAAAAAAAAATTAATGGGGCTTGTCCCTGTAATTCCAGCTACTCGGGATGCTGAGGCAGGAGAATTGCTTGAACCCGGAAGGCAGAGGTTGCAGTGAGCCAAGATTGCACCACTGCACTCCAGCCTGGACAACAGAGCCAGACCCCATCTCAAAATAACAATTAAGTTCCTCATTTCCACGAGTGACATTTTAAGTGCTCAGTAGCCACGTGTGACTAGTGGCCAATGTACTGGACAGTAGAGAATATAATTTTTCTGTCACCACAGAAAGTTCTACTAGACAATGCAACTCTCCCCACTTGG